TTAGGTACCGAAAGGGAGCGTTCAGTGAAGTGTCCGTTTCTTATGAACGGTAATTGATAAAACAACATTTATTAATCAAAATTACGCGAATTTCTTATGAAAAACGTTTTTTTTTATTCTGAATTTCGGGCTAAGTGTTCCAGAAAAAAAAAAAAAAGCTAAGGCTAAAACTTGCCTACCCAGTGAACGTTTGAATGTGTCACAGCTTATGGTTAATCATGTAATTGCCTACAAGGTACTCCTGGGTGGAGGGAGACAACCGTACATAAAGTGCCTTGCCCAAGGTCACAAGCAACTTGCACAGCGAGAGTTTCGAACCCCCGACCTCAAGGTTGGGAGTCCAATAAGAAAACCCCCGCTTTGCATCGTCGGAATTCATAATTGTTCTGCTTTTTATGGTCTTGATACTGCATCTAGCTGCCTATAAACGGAGTACAATGCAAGGCCAATCTTCAAAAATAGTACAGTACCAATTATGAGTTTTTAAGCATCAAAATCTTATTCCCCGTATTTGAAATTGCGTTAATTTAAACTAACATTTAGTAGCTTCATTGTGTAGTAAATTCATGTGTTATGGACGATCCACATGTAAGACGAGCATGATTTAATAAATCTAAAATGTGTAGGCCTATGCCGTGTGTATAAGGCAACTCCCTGTTTTCCGTTCTTGATTTGCTATTTTAAACTTTGTCTACGCGAGTATACCGTCTGCATCTTTCTTACTGAACGAAGACATCGCAGTTCGACGATCAGTTATAATTAACTAATACTGTATTTCAAAAGTAAAGCGTAGTTAGTTTTTAAATATGATAAGCCATTTTCTTCATCTAAATTTTAATAGTCAACCAAATATACATGTATGATTTGGAGGAAAAGGCATTAAAAACTCTATTAAAATGAAAATTATAGCCGGATTTTGGTAAAAAATATCATTTATGATTTAAGGACGAGGGAAGTGAGAAAAGAAAATGATGTATCCCCACTGACTTAACAGACTCAATCTTGTAGGTATTAGTTTTTATGATTTTTTTCTTTATAATTTAAGTGTATAATTGTTTGCATTAATAAATTAAATTAAATGCATCAAGGAAATGGGTGATGCCGCATCATCTCCGACACCATAAGTTCCACACTTGCGCGAACAAGCACCCTGTTTGAATAAGCGTTCCCCCCCCCCTTCCTTTTAGTATCATAAGTCTTTCTTTTTAACAAGTCAATAATCCAATAAATCCTGGGACTGTGGTTGTTGGCATGATTTGAGCTGCACAGTGGAATCACATTTCTCAGGTCAATATCAAAATAAGGATATTTCTCTTGGACAAATGAGAGCTCCGATTCCTGGAGAGACAGTATAATTCCAACTTTCCTCTTCTTATATATTTGTCTAGTCCTAGACCTACTCCTCTTTTTTCCCCCTACAATTTCCACCTTTAACAAATTCTCATCTGAGTTTTCAAGAAAACCTGCAATGATCCTGCCATCAGTGCTAATCTCAATCGGCCGATAACCAATAAGCTAACCGCTACCCACCACCACTAGTGGCATTTGCTATTCTGCTGTTATGTAAATATTCACAGCATTCTTGTCATGAGCCATGTGCTCTGGACGATTATCTTTTCTGCTGCACCACCATTCGTAATCCTTAAAAATCTTTTTTTCATTCACTAAGTGACTCTTGAATTTAATATGTTCCCATAAGAACCCCTCGAGTTTCATCTATTTCCATAAGCGCCCCCTCAATTTCCACTGTGTTCATAAGCGCCCCGTTTGAATAAGCGCCCCTCAAAAAGTGCAAAAAATATTTGAAGCACCAGGCGCTTATTCATGTGAGTACGGTAGTACCAAAAATGTATCAACCCTTTAAAATTTTGCGCACCACCCTTTCAATTTTTTGGACAACATTTCTTGAAATTCTGCCACCCTTTAAAAAAATCCTTGACAGTATGAAACGCCAAAAGGACAAAATACAATTGATAGCAGTGCAAAACTGAGAGTCAGCAGTGCAAAACTGTGAGTCAGCAGCGCAAAACAGAGTCACCAGTGCAAAACTGAGAGTCACCAGTGCAAAACACAGTCACAGTGCAAAACTGATTAGTGCAAAACACAGATTCACAGTGCAAAACTGAGAGTCACAGTGCAAAACACAGAGTCAGCAGTGCAAAACTGAGAGTCAGCAGTGCAAAGCTGAGAGTCACAGTGCAAAACTGAGAGTCACAGTGCAAAACACAGAGTCACCGTGCAAAACTGATAGTCACAGTGCAAAAGTGAGAGTCACAGTGCAGAATTGAGAGTCACAGTGCAAAATTGAGAGTCACAGTGCAAAACCGAGAGTCACAGTGCAAAACATTGGTGGCAATGCAAAACTACAATTTTGAAAGAGGGGGGGGGTGTGGTGCGTATAAGTGTTACAATTTTAAATACAAAAATTAAGTGTTTTAAATAATTAATAAACAGTGGGCTATGGAGAAGGCTAGTAGTAGGTACATGTGCCCGGGCTTGTCAAAAAACAAGGCCTAAGTCTAGATATACACCTAAATGCCTCGACTTCGTCGGCTTTTCAAGAAACATTGTTTTTCTAAATAAATCTCACTTAACTGTCTAAATTTTCTGCATTTTTGTCATTTCTGTTGTCTTTTTTGATCCCCAATTGGTTATCTTTTTTTAAAAAATTATTTTGATTGCGCCTTGTATGTATTCCTTGGCAAAAGGCGAGGTACAACTTCCTGTATTATTAACTGGGCCAGGCTCAGCCTAGGCTTTAGGGCCCACGTAGACCTAGGCTAGACTTGGAATCCGCCGCTGAAATTATAATGTATTCAGGCCCGTAGGCAGGGGGTGGGGGTGGTGCAGAGGCTGCGGACGCACCCTCCCCTCCCAAATTCCAAAAGGTCTACTTTTTAAAACCTATGATTTCATAAAATCGTTCCCAATTATCACAAAACGCTATAGCATGCATTGCATTATATATTTGCCGGCTTATCTAACTGTTGATTTTTAATAATGTGGTATGAAATTTGTTAGAAATTAATCGCCTCCGGTGATTGCAGATTGTCCATATAATGAATAATGTTATCTATATGCCTGCAGGTGTACAGGACATAATAACGTTACTTTTTTAGGTACCAAAAACACCCAAATTAATGAAAATTTAAATGAAATATTCATGAATTATGTGTTTGAGAAATATATTATGTAAAGACCCTCAAAATGCTACTTTGTCGCTTTTCTCACAAACCCCCTCCAGGCCTCTGCTCCTGGACCACCAAATTTCAAAAAGTCCAATTTTTAAAACCTGTTATTTCACTAAAATCGTTCCTAAAATTATCGCGAAATGCTATAATATGCATAACATTTTTTCCCCGCTCTTCCATCCGATGATTTTTTTAATAATGTGCTACGAAATATGTTGGAAATTATCAGCTCCAGTGATTGCAGATTGATCCAATTGATCCATGTCATCTTTAGGCCTACAGATGTAAAGATCATGAAAACTTACAATTTCACATGGTTCAGGGGCAGAGGCCTGGAACTTGTACCTCGCCTTTTGCCAAGGAATACATACAAGGCGCAATCAAAATAAATTTAAAAAAAAAGATAACCAATTGGGGATAAAAAAAAAACAACAGAAATTACAAAAAAACAGAAAATTTAAACAGTTAAGTGAGATTTATTTAGGAAAACAATGTTTCTTGAGAAGCCGACGAAGTCCAGGCATTTAGGTATATATCCAGACTTAGGCCTTGTTTTTTGACAAGCCCGGGCACATGTACCTACTTCTAGCCTTCTCCATAGCCCACTGTTTATTAATTATTTCGAACACTTAATTTTTGTATTAATTGTAAAGCTTATACGCACACCCCCCCCCCTTTCAAAATTGTCAATGGTCACTAAGGAGTGCCCAATTGTGACCTCAAAATTTCATCCATTTTACTTGTTGACACCGTCCAAAAAAGCTGTGAAACTTTAATTCAAAATAGAGGGCGTCCACTTGAATTGCACTGTCATTGGAGTTTTGCATTGCCACCAATGTTTTGCACTGCGACTCTGTTTTGCACTGTGACTCTCAATTTTGCACTGTGACTCTCAGTTCTGCACTGTGACTCTCAGTTTTGCACTGTTACTCTGTGTTTTGCACTGCTGACTCTCACTTTTGCACTGTGACTCAGTTTTGCGCTGCTGACCCTGTGTTTTGCGCTGTTGACTCTGTGTTTTGCACTGTGACTCTCAGTTTTGCACTGTGACTCTCAGTTTTGCACTGTTACTCAGTGTTTTGCACTGCTGACTCTTAGTTTTGCGCTGCTGACTCTCAGTTTTGCGCTGCTGACTCTGTGTTTTGCACTGTGACTCTCAGTTTTGCACTGTGACTCTGTTTTGTATTACTCTGTTTTGCACTGTGACTCTGTGTTTTGCACTGGTGACTCTCAGTTTTGCACTGGTGACTCTCAGTTTTGCGCTGCTGACTCTCAGTTTTGCACTGCTACCAATTGTATTTTGTCCTTTTGGCGTTCCATAGGACAGAGGGTTGCTATACAATCATTTGAAAACCTCATTTTAAAATTTATAAAAAGCCACAATCAGAGATGTAAGTTCATTCAATAGAGCCTTTAAATTGGAATTTTGTGTTTCAACAAATAACCTGAAAAATGCTTTCAGCAATTATATATTCACCCAAGATAATATAGTAGTCTGTACAATAGGCATCATTTTACAAGAGTGTCTAATGTCTATAACTTAAACAAAGTTTTCCATCTAAGGGAGTTGGATCATCTGGACCATTACTATAATTCAATATAATTATAATTAAAAATTCAATTCAAATACTATAATGATTTGGCAGTTTTTTCTAGTGGCCTTAGCCATGTTATTTTACAACCTTTTTTAACGTTTTAGTTTCTTCACTGGATGATTAAATGGCCAGTATTTGTCTTTTCATTGTCCAATTCATACGTTTTTTGATGATTTGTTTTTTACAGTAATAAATATTTATGAATTTATCATACCTGCCACAAAGAACTTTTGAATTTCAGTTGTTTCACTTCCAATAAATTCACCTTTTCTATCACAAGTCATGTTGTCTCCTTTTAAGCAGATCTCTAGGTCTTGAAAGTGTGGTTTCTCCATGCAATCATCTGAACAGACTAAGCAAAGAATTTGCAAAGCATAGCCGAGAATTTTCTTAGATGGATATACCTCATCTAGGTATTGCTTTAAAAAATCCAAAACCTGTAAAATGAAATAACCATCATGTTTTATATAAAATACAAATAAACTTTAAGAAGGCATTAGATATCAAACACGCACCTTGAGCCCCACTAAATTTGCTAAATTTATTTTTTAAATGGTGAAAGAAAGTTATATTCAAGTTTCTGATTTTTTTTTTCAATTCAATTCTGCAGTGCAGGTAGGTTGTGTAGTGATTAGCTTAGAACCTGCTGTAATTAGCTTAGAACTTGGATAGGCTCAACATACCTGCAGAACAAAAAGAACTATTTTTTTGACTTTTTTTTTCTGCAAGTATGTTGAGTAGTGATTAGCTTATAATTTGCATAGTCTTAACATACCGGCAGAAAAAAAAACACCATCTTTCGACTTATTGATTAATAGATTCATTTTTTATGATTTTTTTTTTCCACAGCTACGTTGCATAGTAATTAGCTTAGAACCTAGGTTGCGCGGAACTGACGAGCAGAGGAAAAAAGACGAGCAGAAAAAAAAATGTTGCCTCCGCACATTGTGACAGAAGACACGGCGGATGTGATCGATAGTAGTAGTAGCTGTAATACTAATATACAATGTTTTTAGTATGAGAAATTGTATGAAGACAATACAGTAGATTAAGGTTTGTATCCAAACGATCTAGGCAGCCTAGGCCTACGTACGCGGCTCCAATTTGCCGATGTTTTGGGCCAGACAAAAATGTCAAGACGATATACACACACACAAAACAAATATTGAATAAAAGGTTTTTTTTAAACATTACTGCCATTACCAATAATAATAATAATAATAATAGGACATATCGAATGGATGTAGTTGCGTGAGTTCAAAGTTTTCCAATTTTAATTTTTTTTTTCTCAATTCCCAGAAATTATACCTTACTATACTACCCTCATCGGAGCTTTCAGGATTACAACACCTTGTTCAAAAATAAATTAGAAAAGTCAACCCCTGGATCCCCTTTATTTTGAATTCATGGATCTAGCCACTGAAACATGTTGATATCTTAGATTTCTTTAGAGCAGCCAGCCAATGAAGGCATTACCTTTATGCATACGTCAGGATCTGGCTTACATACTTGCTTGTATGCACCCTCTGCTTTTTTCACTTTCATTTTTGATATTTCCAGCTTTATGTAAAAAATAACATTGTTGGTTATACTTAAATAATACAGAACTAATTCAGTCTAAATTTATTGATGATATAATATAAGGTATAAAAACATCAACAAAGATGTTAAAAAACATTTAAACGATGTAGATAGCATATTACACAATAATTAATGGAATGTCATATCATACTATCATTCATAAAATTATAATGATACTAATAGCAGAATCATGTAAGACAATAAAAGCATGTTTACCTTTATCAAAGATGGTTTGTTATCAATGGATATCCGACCTAGTTTCAGGTAATGCGTATCGCTAAATTTTATTTCAGCCTGATTCTGAAACAACTTTGGGTCTTCACGAAAACCTCTATCCTGACTCAGGCTTACAAATCTAACGACCAAGACATCGTAGACGGCATCAGGAAGGAAGTCTTTAGGTGTCACATAGATGGATACTGTCTGCTTATCGTCTTTCTTTATTTCCAATCTATCATTAGGATTGGCCTTCATCCGAGAAGGGACGACAAATTGTCGAGTGCTATCATCTGATTTATTCTATTAACAATAGAAATTTCATTATTAATTATATGTTAAGTGCATGATGAGTGTTGGTTCGTGAGGGACTGTATCGCAATCTTTATCTGGCCAACCCATTTAATTGCTAATGCACTTCCCCTCGAATAGCACAAAAAAATACAAAATTAAACTGAGATTCTCAGGACATCAAGGCAACATCCTGGTTATTGCTGAGAGAAAGTAAGAAGGGTTAGGGTGCCAGGGCTACATACTATGGACCATGAGCCTACATTCCTACCTTTTCAAAGAGAAGACCAAACATCTTCATAAGTTCAATGGAACAATCAACAATTTTATCAACATCTCCATCACTTTTACTGACAGTAAGTCCACTTGTCCACAAATGCTCTGCCAGCGGTTTTGTAAGAATCCCTTCATTAGAAAATTTACGCCAATCCTTTATCATCACTGGATACTACAAAGAGATTATTTACAACATGTTATCGAAAGTTGCCATCTGTGTGACAATGATCATTCGAATCACAGTAGTCATCTAAATGCATTGGTCCAATTTTAAATTTATACTAATGATTAGGGGTGTAACTGGGTGTATGACAATATAAATAAATAAATCAGACATGAAATTTTTATTAAAATCCTCTAGTGAATAAAAATTATTAATTTGGAAATGGTCACCACTTAAAAAAAAAAAAAACTGCCATTCAAAAAACAAAGAGAAAAAAAAAACACTCAAAACTTAATGACCAAAATGTTGAAATGCTCATAGAATCACATACTTAAATTTGTCGGGGTACTTAAGGCCAAGGATATAAAATTGTATTATTCCTTTAATTAGCAGGGAAATATTTTTCCCTTTCTAAATATCAGTTGAAAACTACTTGATTTCAATTTACCAAAATAAAATCATTATCGGTATTATCTATAAAAAAATTTAGGGAAAAATAGTCAGTCATGACGTTATATTTTCTTATATACAAATATATTTTTAAAAATCACATTAATTTAGAAATGTCAGAGGGTCCGACGACTAGACAGAGAGTGAAGGTGCATCGTGACTGCTCAACATTATTGAATTTTCTGCCTGATCAGTTTGTTATTAACAATAACATTTAAAAAAGAAAAGTATTTTTAATGCAAAAAGGGCTGCCCTCCTGAAAGTGGAAAATGTCAACACGAACAGCTCTCTCAGACAATAAAGTTCCTCTTTATATTATTATTGTTTTTTTGTTATATCAATATGATTAACTCTTATTAGCAATAATATTTAAATTACTATTATATTATGATTCCTAAGATTAGTATTATTAACATTATCAATGTTATTACTGTATTATCATTGAAATTATCAGGGGCGGATCCAGAGATGTCCAAAAGGGGGGCCGAAAGGGGGGCCGAAATTCGGGCCGATCGAGACAACAATATCCTAAGGGGTCCGGGGGCATGCCCCCGCGAAATTTTTGTGTTCTAGACGCCCGAAAATAACATTTGAGGCATTGTGGGCTATCGTTTTTTTTCTTTTTCTTTTTTTTTTTCTTTTTTTTCTTCTTTTTTTTAGCTCCCGAAAGTGGGGGCCGGGCCGCCCCCTAAATCCGCCCCTGATTATTAAAATATTTATGTATTAGTGGGTATCACTTTTTATACTGCACACCAATTCTCACGACCATAAATATCGGAGATAACAAATACCTACATGATTCACCATGAGGTTTTCCTAAGTAAACAAATAAAAATAATAGTATTGTGTCAAATAATTAAGGTAACCTTGTCAACATCATCGGGTTCCACAACTGTAATGATTTTCATGAAGATTTTAATCAGCGCATGGATTTTAGTAATCACAGTGTTCTTCAACTTCTTGTTAGTGGCCGAGTACAGAATGACTCCAATATCATTGAGGTAATTGAGGACGTGAATGACTTTGTCTTCATTTATACCACATTGATCAGCAATCTTAGTGATCTGAAGAATTATAAGCAGCATTCAAATTAGTGGTGCAGGTGCTATCTAAATAACACAAATTGATTGATTGAAATATGTGGGTTCAATCATTCTAAAAATAAGGTTCAATACAAATATGAAAGGAAGGCTGCGTAATTGTATACGATACCTCATCTAAGGACATGCCTAGGGTTGTTTTCCCAATTTCTAGCACCTTAATTTGGAATTCCACCCACTTAATTGGTACAGTTCTTGCCATTGCTTTCATGAAACCGCCTACGTTTCTTTTCAGTCTTTGAATCCCTTCATCCAGTGCTGTGGTGTTGTCTACGGCATACCTCTCACGATCTACGTGACGTTCATATGGTTCTCCTTCGATTGCCTTTAATATTCTGTCGAATATGTCATCAATCTATAAATAAAATTGAATAGCATAATTGAATATATTTATATATTATGCAACAGCATTAATTAAATATTCTGCAACAGCACTAATTAACAAAATAACCATATATACATATATACAAACATATATATATATACAGTTATATAAATATATATATACAGTATATACATACATACATATACATATATATATATATATATATACTGTACATATACATATATCTATATACTTATATTTACATATATATATATGTATATATATATGTATATATATATATGTATATATATATATATAACAGAAAATAAGACAGAAAATAATAATGCGGAAACGTTAAGTTAGAATGTAGAACACAATATAATTTATTCATATATATATATATATATATATCGTACCTTTGCCTGTTTCTCAGCATCACTGCCCTGTAGTAGATCTTTGTGCGTCCCAATCAGACTAATCGTCGGTGATGCTATCATTCTATTGATCACATTCTTTGCTTCAGAGCCATGTAGCAGTACAGCGTGTTCAAATATTGACCTTATCCAAAATAAGATCGATTGCAGATTTGTCATCTCAAGAAATCCCTGAAAATCAATATTAGGAGTCACATAGTTTACAAAAAGGGGTTTGGGAAAAATTTATGTACAGTACAAGAATCTAAAATTGAACCTATGATGTCTTTAGACATTTCTGTTATTAATTAAACTGATGTTAAATTCCGCATTTCTTGGAATTTACAAGAACATTTTACTGATTTATTTACTTTTTTAGGATCTCGTGATTTTGCCAATTCGTCCAAATCATCTAGCAAACTAAAAACAACTCCATAAGACGTCCTGTCTGTAAGAAAAAACTGGAAAGAAAAGACATTGAATAGAAATTATTGTCATGGTCGGAATGGATTTATTTGGTGTAAACACCAAGAATAGCCCACTAAAGTCTAGAAGAAGACTTATTTCCAGTGGGGTCCTTCTGGTGGTGATTGGGCAATACACTGGTAGACTCTTTTCCGAAGAGTATACAGCACATGGGCCATAAATGCATACGGGACCAACGGCTTAAACGTCTCATCCGAAAGACGGTGCGCTATTCAGTCCTCCAACTGAAACACAAGAAGAGCAGCAATGGGAATTGAACCAGGACCTAGAGATCTCCATGGTTCAGCGCACACACAGTGGCTTCCACCAGTTTAGCCAACTGAGCTAAGTTGCTCTCACACTGAGCTAAGCATACAGGTTTCTCAGTAGTTTATGTACTGAGCCTGTTGTTCGCGCGGCAGAATGCTTTTGTTGTAAACAGAACCAGTGGCGGCTCTAGGACATAATATATAGGCTAAGTTGTCCGACAAGGGGACTTGAGCTCGTAGGCTCGAGCTGGGGGAAGGGGTTGAGAGGGAGTTCCCCTCCCAAATGAGATTGTTTTTAAAAGAATATCAACCTCTAGATGGCCGAAAATAGCACTCTGAATGTGTGACAGACATGTGTTGGATAATGTGTGCCTATTTTTATATGTTTTATGGTCTGACTGCCAAACGAGCTCTGTCCGGCGGAGAGAGGGGCTTGACCTGTCCAATGGGGGACTTAAGCCCCATGCCACTCCGCTGGCGCCACCACTGAACAAAACACAGTGGCTGTTGTTTCGTTGCCATTACAAAGATGTGGTTATTATAAGTTAAAATGCAGTTGCTTACTTTGTAAGTAGTTTGTAACATTCTAATATTAAATATAGTATTGAATTTCGATAACAATCAATAGTTATTAAGCAGTGCTTGTTATTCTATGCTATATGAGACCAATACAATGTTATTATTTAAATCTTTACTTCAGATTTTGGAGAAAGGTGTTTATTTGTAATGGAAGTACTCAGTAATTTAAATCCGTCGAGTTGATTCAGGTATTAATATGTTCAATACTATATCATTTGTCGTATATATATGCTTGCAAATGACTCGCTGTATTATTATTAAATGTATACCGTAGTGTCTATTATGGTGGTAATAATAATGCTGTTAATAATGTTAATTCCAAAGTGGTAAGTTACATGGTATTAGTACATGATGTTGCTATGGTGTTACTATTTACTTTCAGGGGCTTTTCCTTTTGCTGTTCTGTTGATCACGTTTAATCGTTTGATGTGACAAGAGAAATAACAGTTACGAACTGCATGTGTTGTTATACAGCGTCTTCATTCTAATCATTGTATAGCTGAGCCTCACCCGCTCAAAGTCCGGGCAGAAAACTACCAAATAAATGCGGGTCTTCGCTACGTACCATAACATTAAGATTTAATTATATATTATTCCACACTTGGCGCCTCATACTTGATAAGCATGTTAATAATAATTATTATTAGGCCTATCTCTCAGAAAAATGATTCTCATAATTGAAAACCAACAATCTGGAGTTTAAGAACATATATGTACATCAGGTTAACCTATATTTTGGCATCTGAATAACTTTCCTAGGATAAGTAAATTTATATGTGTATGGGAATTTGAGAAAATCGGCCTCAAAGGTAAACGTAGGCCTACCTGTAAACTAGATGCAGGAAAACACTTTATAAACTATCACGAAATATATGTTTCTAAAAAAAAAAAAAAAAAACTGGCTGTAGCCGCCGTAGATCGAAAAGTACCGTATATATTTTAAACTGTATTATTTTTCACTGTAAATAGGCCTACGACGACAATCTTTTTAAAGTCAGGCTCCGGAGGAAAAAAATGTTTTGATATGTTGTAAAACTGATTTTTCTAAGACAGAAAAAAGTTGTTTGACGAAAAATGGGGAACGGTAAATGAGATACAGATTTTTTAATATTTAAAAACTGGGGGAAAAAGGGGCGTAACTGCCCATTTTTACACCTTATTCCCCAAGTTTTTAAATATTAAAAAATCTGTATCTCATTCACCGTTCCCCAGTTTTTCGTCATTCAACTTTTTTCTGTCTTAGAACAATGAGTTCTACAACATATCAAAAAACTTTTTTTTTGGTAAACTAGATTAGTGATTTTGATTTATGTTATTTTAAATTGGCTGGTACTTTACAGAGACCCTAGAGTATAGTTAGTTATTGTAGTCAAAACATGGTTGCAACGAGATACAATCCGGAATCGTACGATAGCTGGGAGTGTTTAGCACACTTTCTTATCTTGGCAACAACTTTACGTACTGTATGTAGTCCTTTCTGTTTAGATTGAAACAAACATTTTATTTTTTGATGATCGTTCCATTTTTTAGTATAAGGTGACTTCTATCAGGTGATTGGTTTCCAGGCTTGGGAGAAGCATTTTTTATACAAATATCTAGATTTACAAAAAAGACTCCTTCACTTTATAACTCTTGAGTGTCGAAACGATAGGTTCGGTCCCTATATTTCCATACTCCTTCGCAAATCGCACACTTTACGCTCGACTTTACGATTACTTATGTTTGATAGCATATGCTAGTTTTTTCTGTTAGCAGAAAACGCGGCTATTGTGCTATGTTTGTTTTGTTTGAATAAAGTAGAGAGTAGCCATACGAATTGTATATTTCTGTGGATTTTGGCACTCATACTGGCCCTTTAATCCTTCAGATAGATCACACAGTGGTGCTTCAATTTCAAAATGTAAAATCCCTCTATTTAAATTCACAAGCAAACGAGGGCAATAATTATGAAATTTTATAGATTCCCCTCTTACCCGATGAGTAATATAATAATCAAGCTGACCGGCATAGTCCCATATGCAAGTTACATCCGTCGGTCCAGAACTCTGGTTAACAATATTTTCAAATACTTTCTTGCGTAGGATAAGGTGATTGGTCGATAATCCAGTGTCCTGAGATACAGGTTTTTCTATAAACACATGAAAACAAACTTTCATACCAATAGTGATAAGTGTGAAAATAAATCAAATTGTAATATGTTGAGGTGGTGATGATGTGTTATGATGGCATGCGGATGAATAATGCATGCATTTTAGGAACATGGCGGTGGTGGTGATGATGATGGTAAAAGTAAGTGGCGGTGATGGCTATAAAAATAATGTGTTGATAATTATGATGATAATATTAATAATAATGTTTATAGGGATGATAATGATGGTGATAATGATGGTGATAATGACGATATCATAATGAAGATGGTGAGACGATGTAGTGATGATGATGATGATGATGATGATGATGATGATAGTGATGATGATGATAGTGATGATGATCATGGGGAGGATGATAATGATGATGGTAAAGGTAAGTGGCGGTGATGGCTATAAAAATAATGTGTTGATAATTATGATGATAATATTAATAATAATGTTTATAGGGATAATGATGGTGATAATTACAATATCATAATGAAGATGGTGAGACGATGTAGTGATGATGATGATGATGATGATGATGATCATGGTGAGGATGATAATGATGATGATTACGATGGTGGTGATGATAATTTCGATGATGGTGGTGGTGGTGGAATGGCTATTGTGATATGCCTAGTGATGATGATGTCAATTATGGACATAATGTAGAGTATAATTAAAATACCTTTGGTTATCTCTGCTTCTGATTGTTCAACCTGAAAATTAAATATTAAATTTCGCAAATGTTAATACCCTAGGAGCCAGACAAGGATTTGTATGCACTTTGAGGGGCAGAGAATTTGACTTCAGAAATTGGTTCAAGGTGGTCCAAGAATCATTTTTGGCTTGGAAACACATTTTCAAAATGTGGCGAAAG